TATTGTGTTGCTTAGTTAAAATGTAGAATTATCCAAGAGAAGAGCGTATTGACATGATTTTCACCCTTGGAGAAGTCATAAAAATTGTTTATTGGCTTCTCGAGTTTATACTCAAAAGTTTCATGAAAGAAATCATCCTAAGCCAACAGTTTTTAAGCACTTATTACACCAATTTGAGAAAAGTGGGAGTGTCAATTATAAAAAAACCCATTACAGGGAACTCTGTCACTGAAGATGAAGAAAATGTTTTCACGGTAATTGGTTCAGTTATCGAAAATCCCAATGTTAGTGAAAATCTAATATCCAAAAGTACTAACATTAGTCAATCAAGTATTTCCAGTATTATCAAAAAGCACAACTTTTATCCTTATAAAATTCAGTGGAAAATGGAAATGATTTTGAAAACCGAACTGAGTTTTGCATGTGGGTGTTAGATAAAGTGGCAGAAAATGAAAAGTTGTAACTCCGCAAATGTTGTCCACAGTTAGCAGTGGTTTTGAAAAAAGAATTTACAAGTGCCTGGAAATGGACGGTCAACATTTCGAACATTTGTTATAATTAATTTGCCTCGGTTTTATGGTATTGTTGATATGTTATTTAACCTTTTAATTAAAAAAAAACACCAAATGGTGCACAGATCCATTATTTGGTGTGTTTTGTAAAAGGGCAAAAACAACATCAACATCCTAGTACCATTCGATAGGTAATTAAAAATTGCATTTTCTGGTACGCTAAAAAATATGGGGTTGTATTTAAAATAATCAAGTTATAGCTACTTAAAGTTATTATTTGATTAGTTTAAATTTGTGGACACCCTGTATAAAATGGTAAGTTTATTATCATTGGGATATAAAACATGATTTATTGTTACACCAAACTACGAATTACGTTTACACAACGTAAATAATTCTAAAGTATTTGGCACAAGAAAATAATATTAGATTTTGATAAAATTCGAATTATTTCGAAAACCTTTAGATTTAGACATTATAAATCTTATTAAAACAAACACTTATTTTGCTCAGAGAATCCAAAAATGCAATAATATTTAAAAAAGTATTTCATTTAGAAAAACACAACTTGATACTTTTAGGGATTTTGGGATACTCTGTACATTACAAAAATATTTTTAAAATGTGCACCCGTTAGGCGTCTGTGAATTTATCAAATAATATTTTGCAAAAAACAAATGGGCTAGCCGCAAACGTCCGTGCCGTATAGCGTGAATAACCTTGTATATTAGCAGAATACAAAATCTGATAAAAATTTAAAACAAAATGTGATATTTACTTACGAAAATGACACCTCCACTCTGATACTAACCCATTTTTGGTACAGGGGCGCCCAACAGGTTTTCTCTGCTCGGATGATTCGATTTGACTGCGTTTACTCTTCGGTTTTGGGCTGCCACCGGTCCTGCTGCATTGCCCAGGCCCGGGGCAGCCCCGGGCATAACAGGGCCTGGTATCCTTGGGCCTCTAGTAGGCTCTACTGGGAGAACACGACGTCGTTTTTTCGGTAGTTTGGCTCGAGCCTTAAAGTGATAAAGTAAAATAAATTTACCGTATGAATTGACAAAAGCTTTATGTTTTGTTTGGAAATCATTCCAGTCGCTCTGATAAAAATGTATTTTTCACAAAAAACATATTAAAATAATATTTTGTAATGCACAAAACACACACTTATTATTAAATTTGTATATATTTGGTTTAGTATTCAGTTTCATATATTTTTCTGAAAAAAATATCTTGGCTATGAAGAGATGAGATGCGTGTTGGCACTGGGATTACTATGGATAGATAATTGACGCTAACGATCCGGTAAATAATTAATACATACGATATAATTAGATTCGAATGATTGTTTCTGTTGCTTTTGCGAGTGCTAAAAAACATTTAATTCGTGGAGAAGAACTGGCTATAAATATTCAAATACAACGAAAAAAAAACGTGCAAATAACCGTTTCACAGAATAATCAAATTTTGGTGGTACCTACCTGCGTATGACTATAATACATAGCAAAATTTGATACAATCACAGGTACTGGTAAAGCTATCGTCAGTACACCTGCCAAGGCACATAAGGCACCCACAAACATCCCAATGTAGGTTTTGGGCACCATATCCCCATAGCCCACTGTAGTCATAGTGACTAGAGCCCACCATAGTCCTAAAGGGATGCTTTTAAAGTCGTTGTCCGGGTTCGTTTGTATCCTTTCGGCATAGTACACTAAACTGGCGAATATAACAATTCCTGCAAAAGATGAACGAACATAGTTAACATCGACTCAGTGTTTTTAGTACGGATATAACTTCTAGCTAATGAACATGTAGCCAAGGTATATAAAAAAGTGGATATCTTGATTTGGATATGTCATGTGGTTGAAAAAATTAACTCGATTGAGGTACAAAATTTGCAATTGTTTGAACACAAACTACACCCTGTAAGTCTAAGTCTAATTTTTATTACTTTGTCACAAAGTTAGCCAAACATTAGTAGCCGCCAAATATAATTTGGTGTCCAAACTCGAAATTGGTGTTGATCATTTGTCATTTAAAAAGGATCTTCGATTTGATCAATTAACTAATACCTAAACCGCAAGCTTTTTATTTCTCATTTATTTCCCCCGGATTTCATCAACGTAAATGCAACTTTGGAATAAATCTAATAATTCGTACTTCCTATGCATCACAAAATTGTCACATTTCATCACGTTGCATCACACAGTTCTCCATAAAGTGATGCTTTCAAAAAATCGAATAGTTCATCCGCATTCTGCCTTGTCGTATAACTTGAATAACCCTGTATACAGGATGGCTCTCCAAGAGCTAATAATGCAAGCTAATTAGCTAATATTTCAAGAGCGACTCTGCGTATAGTTTAGAATACTTTTGGTAGACTTAGCTCGGCTGCTTTTCCCAGTCGTGCGGAGAAGGAGAGTTTATTTAAATATCTTAATTAACTTCCAAAATGAACTCAATTTTGTTACAATAAAGGCGATAGCCCAGGAATCTATCGTTATAGATTTACAGAGTATTAGAACCAAATAAAAAATCATGCCCTCAAAAAGCAGAAACAATTTAGGAAACTTGTTTGATCGTTTTGAAATATTTTTATGCGTAAAATCAGCTGCTATCAAAACATGCACATTTGTCTGCACACGTTTACACTACATTCTCTTGTCTCTTTTTCATTTTGTTTTAAATTAAACATTAAATAAATTCTAAATTTCCATTTTCACTGTCGTTTACAAATGCAACCAAGCTGTTTTCAAGAATGAATTAGATTTTTCTCTCGGTTTCAAGTGAAGCGAGAAACCTCTTCAAATGTAGTAAATCGAGTAGCAGATAAATTTGGAAACTCAGAATCTGTGAAAAGTGAGATTCATAAGAAATACCCATTAGAAGCATTCGAAATATCGAAGTGGCAATATAAGAGTATGTTAACGCGTTTTCAATGATATCTTGACGGCAAGTAGCTCAAGAAGCCGGATTGGAAAAAGTTCGATTTATTGAATACTGAAAAATGATAACGGTTTGCCATATATCTTTTACATGGTTTAATAGTTTAGCTCTGTGGGCCTTTAAAAAGACTGATGTTTTCCGAATTAATTTGAAGAAAATGTGGGAAAATTACTAGTTTTTTAATATTAATCAGAACTGACTAGATTTGCAAAAAACAGTTGCTTCATCTGCACGCGATTACTTATTGTAGTGAAGCAAACCAGTACATGTTAAGTCGGTCATTTACTTTCCAAAAAAAGGAAAAATAATCATAGTTCTTAATACCAGTCTTAATAGACAAAACGCAACTAAAATATTTGAAAAAATATATGAAAACTAATTATTAATATGCCGGAAGTCTGTAAAAAGTCTGTACAAAAATTAACCACAGATTTCTGGGATGAAAACATCATGATGAGAAATGATCAACTATAAACTTAACTCACTGCGCTGCACCTCGAACCATTAACTCACTGCATTTTTTTTACATTTTTAACTAGTTGAAGAAATTTTGTTGGTTTCTATCATCACTCGGAAATTGAGCAACTTTTAAATGAGTTCTCCGCGGTTTTTTGTTTAGTCAATATTTAAAAAAAAAATAAGTCGGTTATTAAATTTAGTTTTGTGTATTAATCACTCCAGCTGAGTGAAATTCAGACAAAAATAAATGGCTCTAATGTTAAAATTAAATTAGTGAAAGATCGGCACTGGGAGCGTTTTTCGTTTTTTTGTTGTTGTCTTTCGTTAAGTTGAAATTTGCCTTTGAAAATATTGCCGTGTGAAGACACTTTCTACAAAAATGTCAACAATAAACAAACTAAAATCGAACTGCTGAAAAGTAAAGCATGAATCATCGAAAGGGCGAACCCGAAATGATTAAATAATCATGTTTATTCTATAGTTCGGAGTTTTTTTTTCTCGAGAAGATATTCAGTTTGCTACCGACAGTGGACAAAATCGGTCGATAATCCTTTAAGTTGTATGAATCGCGTTGTTCGATGAGAAATATAGGATTATTGTGGCTCTTATGGCAAGTGCGGTAGTTTGTAAAAGTGTAGTTAACTGCTTGAGGATTAATGGCTAGAAAATGGAGCATGGAGCTTGCAGACAGCTGGTATGAATGATGTCTAATCTATAAATTTTTTTGCTTCAATGATATGTGATGGATTCGTTATATTTCTCTATCTCTTTGCTTTGATGATTTGAAATAAGTTTCGCTTTGGAGAGATTTCCTGCTGCACTAAACATATTTTTTTTCTTTCTTTCCAGGTGGCACTACGCAGGTTTCGATAAGTTCAGCATGACTTTTCCCCTGGTTGCCATCCATGTAGATGTAGAAATTTTAGTCCCATATTCATCAAATGCCTCATAAGGTTGGTATCGATTGAGCTATTGGTTTTTGCGCAGTAAATTTTTAAACTTTGGGAATATTTTGGGCGGCTTTATATTTTCATATTAAGCTCGTCTGCAGTTTTTCGCTAAAGAACCGCTTCAGATATGGAAATTTAGATTCCAGTATTCAATACAGTTAGCATCAGTTGACAGTGTGGATCTGGTTTCAATTAACCTATTGATTCCTCCATAAGGAATTTTTAAACTTTGGAAATATTTTGGACGACTTTGTATTTTTGCATCAAGCTCATCTGTAGTTTGTCTCCAAATAACCGTTTCAAATACGCAAATATGGGTTCCAGTTTTATGTTATTTGTAAAAAAAAGTCAAGAGTTTCAGTGTTGCCTGTTTTTCGTTAAATTGTAAAATCGCCCGAAGCAGACCACATTTTTTGACATTGCTCGTGAACCATTTAAGCCACAGAGTTCGTTTTTCTATTATCGAATAGAGAATTGGTGACTCGCTTAAGTTATAACAACGTGCGTGAGTAAACTCTGGGGGATTTGCCGCAAAAACTCACACGAAATTTGAACATGAAATATTTAGGTGCAACGTTATGCAAAAATTCCATAAAAAAACTTCTTCTACATAATGTCACTCTTTCAAGTTTCTACTGGATATATTTTTGAGTTTTTATTGACGAGTCTGCAGTTGCGCAAAAGCGGTCATTTTCAAATGAATATTTACGAAGCAGCATTTCATGTGATTTGAATTAAATTTTGAAGATATAACGAAATTTTGACGACATTTCGAGCGCACTTTTCATTACTGAACGTACAACTCTGAACTTGTAGAGTATTTGTAGTTTTAGAAAAATTTATGTCCGAAAAACGCGATGCAAAATGTGTTCCGTAACAGTTTTTGCAATCCTAAGCAAAATTTTCTCAACGATGTGTGGGGTACAACTGTGAACTTGGGTAAAGTAAAGGTAAAAAGTAAATTTTTTGTGTCTGAACATCTTTTGTTTCTCTGTGTGCTGCAATTATAATTACGCGTAGCATTCAACTCAAAAATTTAGGAGGCCCGGGTCGGGTATTTCAACACCTAAAAAAAAGTTTACCACCTTTCATAGGAGCAACGTTTTATCAAATGGGTGAATGCAAGGCAACTGCACCGGTAATTTACTGTGCCGGTTGGGTTGACGCAACAAGCCATTTCTGTGCAAACTCCTGAAAATTAACTGAGTTACCCATGGCCATGACAGGTATCCTTCCTGAGTGCTGATAACACAAATAGTTTCAGAAACAAAGTAAAATTCCCAGAGAATGGCTCATTTAAAATTATTACTTTTGCTTTGGAGTTGTAAAACAATTTCGAAACTTTGAGTACAGTAGCTTGAGTTTGACGGGTGTTCCGTCAAAAAAGGTTTGGAACTTCTGAAAAAATATCTCAATAAAAGGTTTATTGAGATCCGTCGTATCTAAAAAATTTCGTTTGTTTAATTGGTAGTCTGACGATCAGTCTAAAGCGTTATTGAAAGATACGACGCATATACAGGCAAATTCGTCATACATCAAAAAATATTCCATTGATGCTATAAACATATTTTTTTTATTTTCCACCACGCAAAAGCCAATATTATATTAATTAATGGCTTGCATGGTCACAATTGAGGCAACACTCAACTTCTTGCCTGCTTGCTTGCTTGTTTTGAGAATAATTACAGACTAATCCAACAATACTTATTTTACAAATCAATAAAAAAACTTAGGTAAAATACCGAATGAACATGAACAAATCATTAATTAAAATAAAGTACAAAAAATAAATAAATTGCACCAACAATTGTAGACAACTTACCTAAAACAAGAAAAAACACCAGTAGCGTGAGTTCTTTCGCTGAAGCTCTAAAAGTCTGTATTAGAATCTTCAGTCCGGAGGAATGCCTCGTTAGTTTGAAGAGCCTCATAATTCGGATTATAGAGAAGAACTCCATGATGTCGGCATTTTCTAAATGGGATGCGAATCGCCTCAACAGCAAGTCAATATAAAAGCTTGCAGTTGCTATGTAGTCAATGATGTTAACTGACGATCGGATAAAGTCGCATTTGTTTGGACTTGCTATAAACCTAAATAAGAGAATAAGCCTGTATTCAAATAAAGCTTAAATTATTCGTTATAAAATAGAGGCAGATATTGAAGCCATTTGTGTTTTGCATGTGCTGCAGTTCTGTTACGGAAACATGGATGTCGATGTCGACGTTGCGTCGACGTTGAATTTCTATTTATTTGTAAAACTTCTTTCAGCTTTCCGTATTCAAAAATTGTTTGGTAATTTCTAAGTCTCACAATTGTAAGAGCATTTGAAACCAGGGCGCATCTTTTGTTACCCAGTATTAATTAATATATCAAATGCAAACAATAGTGAGGGCTATTAACGACTTAAATCAGCCCAATGTGCAAAGTAGCAGCATCGATAACGTTAACAACGGCGAATTACTGCGCTATTGATCCGGTAGGCCGTTGTTTGTGTTTTTCTCGATAATCGGATCTCAAACCCAAACACACTTAACGTGATTCGACATATTGTACACAGCTTTACTTTTTCGAAGCTCTTTCGACTGAAAACTCTTTCGACTGAAAAATTGGCAAATAAAGTTAAAAATCATGCCGTGAAATCAAATTGATTCAGATTTTAATTCCTGCTCTGCCATTTAGGTAACAAAAAAATTATTAATAGTTAACTCAGATGTCAGTTGATCATGATTTAAGACTGATTTAAGGATACAAGTGCGCATTTTATTATTAAATACTCATCGCATTGGGGAATAATGAATACATTTTTTATTTAACTGTTGTCAAAACCGAAACAGCCTTAAAGTCTGACATGTTACGATTAGAGTATCTTTTTTATGTAAGAATCGAATGTGAACATTCGATTCGTACGTGAATACAAAATAAAGCTACGAAAAACAAAGTGTTTTTCAGTCTCGATTTCCTAGTTTTTGATATTTTCTAATCAATATTGTCAAACATAAAAACAAGAGTTCTGGCAACTGTTTTGGACAACAAATATTGGATAGAACTGAAAACGTAATTAAAATTAACTAAATTTAAGGAAAACATAGGAAACTTTCCACCATATGCGTTATCTCCCGTCCAGGAATCAGAAGACTTACGTCTTTCATTATGTCCAAAAACAGCAAATTAAGTTAAAGAGAATGTAGCAGTCTGTCGTATTTCACATTATGTTTGATTTTGTGCTGCCATTTACATCATACAGAGAATTATTAAAATTTATTTTTGTAGGAACAATTCAAGCCGAAAAGCTCGTTGTTAAGGAAGTTGTAATTAAAAAGGAAATAATGAATCGTTTATGCGTAATAACAAGTGAAGTCTTTTGATCTTTTGAAAGCTACTAAAGGGAAAATATATTACTGCAAATAAAAAATGACAAAATTAATAACCTACATTGTGATTATCGAGCTGTTTTCGTTTTCGGGAGTTCTGTTATTAAATTTTATGCGCAAAAAGAATGTCGCCGGCTTAGCTAAGATTTAAATCTTGATGTCGATCGGGATTATGCGAAATAGTTTGATAGTTACAGCCCAAGGAAAATTTTCGATTTATATTTGTCTGGATCTATCAATTGCAATAAGATTTAATGTTGGGAGTTTCTCGAATTATAGCGTTAATGTATGCTAAATTATTCAACAGCAAAGTTGAGGGCACAATAAAATCAACTTGAATTGATTGCCTAGTTTCTTTCAGCTCATAAATTTTTATTATTACGCTCGTCATTTTACTGTATAAAACTCGTAAAATAATTATTAAACCTGAAACGAAAGTTTGATTTCATGGAACTTTTTGACAACTCTGGATTATGTATTTGTAAAGTAAACATTAATTGATACATTTTTTGATTTCGATTTTAGTATACTGGCATAGTATTCGCCAAATAAACTTCTGTCTTGTAACCATTTTGGTAGAATCCGTTGCAATTAAAATTCTTGAGAAACGGCGATTCACTGAATGTCTTTAGAATATAGCGAGGAGTGATTTATTTATAAAGCTGTATTTTTGAACGAAATATTTCTGGAAAGAGAATATCCTTCTTTTGAGCTGGGATATTAAACCAATAGATTTAATGGCTTGCATTAATGTGTTCCTCCGGCGATTTCAGATTTCAAATCCCCATGTTTGAACATTCTTTGACGCGGCTCAAAGCGATATTGAACATCAACTGACGTTCATGAAACATTCATTCGTTGCTTCAATACGTTCTGTTTCTCATTGCAATATTTTCAATTTTTTCATATTACCGTAAAGAAACCTTAAGTATCAAATCTGATCGGCCACGTTTGTCGCAAAATTAGGTTTCCATAAATTCGACCATTTACCGCTAAATTGACTTTCGTGCTGCTATATCAATCAACCACTAATCCTTGCCATTGTCCCGAAATTAATAAAGGCGGAGTGCCAAAAAGACATGGCAAATTCTCCAGTCCTTACGTGATAGATTTTCCGAGACGTTCACCAATGTGGTGGAAAGTGGGGAAAGCAAACGAAAAGGGTTTCTCCGGAGTTAATAAATTGCTTCCATATATTGACACATATTAAACGTAATTCTCTGAGAATCGAAATGATATATATCGAATCGCCCTGCCATTCATCTCCCTATGTTATTTTAAAGATTTGCTAATGAGGATATTTTGTGAATTAGTTTTCGGTTTATTCAACTTTACGTAGTGTAGAAAGTAGTACATTTGGATGGAGAAATGTTGAAATTTAAATCATTTGTCTGAGCAGCATTAACACTGAGTATTCAACATAAATATTTCTATATAATATCTCCATATGAAACGGAAGATACCAATTTGTATGGCCACAGGAGAAATTGTCCAAAGTCATGAACATCTTTTTTGCTTAGTTTGCATTATAGACGCATTTTTGCAACATATGGAACTAGAGGCATGTTGGTTTGTGAAATCGGAAAAGTTACGAGAGAGTGTTGCAAAGCCCAACACTAGGAAGTTGCATGTCAAGTTTCGCTTAGAATACGTTGATTACAACAACTTAAAAAAATAGTAGGTGGATTTTCACATAGATCATACGAATAATTTCCGCACTATACATCCAGAACAGTTATATTTTTACTTACCTGATTAAAATTTCGAAAGTAAACCAGGCATTACAAAAGCACTCGATATAAAAAAATGCTATGTGAGCATCAGTGTCCGATTTGTCTAAAACATAATCACTCGAATTGTTCGCTGTCCGCACAAGTATCCTACTGATGACTGGAACTTTCATGTCGGGATGGGTTTTCAGGCAAAACGATAAAATAGACACGCAGATAAAAAATACTGACAAAACTCCTATTACCTGAAACAAAAAAATCAATTAACGTGGAAAGAAACTTCCAATTGTTACGTAAGTTTTAAAAACTAGTTTAAAAATAGTAGTTAAATAAATGTTTCACTCACTCAAAATATCATAAGAATTCTATGAAGATCTTGTTAAAACTGAATAAATTTCCGTTAATTAACTTGTACCTACTCCAACCCTCCTTATGATCCTATCCGTTATATTTGCATAAGTCTTCATAATTTTTCGCTTTCCTTTAGTGGGTTTTATTCAATTTTTCCATCAGGATTTAGATATGACTGCTCGTTTTTCGCAAGTCGCATATTAAAGCAAATAAATGTTTTGAAGATAAATATAGTCAGTCCTTTCTTCAGTCCAACAAGTAGATGAAATGCTTGAGCATTTCTTTCCAGGCTAATGGCTAATAGAAGTCCAATGTAATTTAAAAATTGCCCCAGCGATAATATGTATGTCGTTAATTCGTTCATATTCGACATAATGCATATTTACGGTTTTTTTTAAATAACTGGCGTTTTGCCATGGGAATGCATTCACTATAATGTATCATTTAATTAGACACAACTTCAACATAGAATTTGAGCCTTGAAGAAGACCCCAATAACGGTCGAAACGTCGGCCAATTAATTAGATAGTGATAGATAGATAGTTCAACTTAATTTTCCAATTGGGACGCAAAAAACAAGTGAAACAAATTAATTTAATTCTTAATCATCAATTCAGTTGCAATGTAGCTGTGCATTCGGTCTTCATTCACTTCCGCTCTTTCTTCTTCCAAGGATTTATTGACTATGTTTAATATTCAAATATTTTTCCGAATCATGTATTCATTGATTTGTATTAGTGTTAAACTCTTGATTATAAAATATTCTCTATGTTCGTTGAGGGGCAAAAATTAATTTTTTGTTGGTAAAATTAGCGAGACTGTGGATCTTCTAAGTAGATCAATTTTAATTCATTCAAATTTAATTATTTGGCAAATTTAGGAAACGGTTCATTACAAGCACTTTTTTTGTGAATTCGAATCAATTGTTTTACCACAATAAGACATTTATAAAGAAATTAGTCATTCACGTACTTTCAATATGTGTCATAAATTAAATTTTGTCACATATTGCCTAACAATTCCAGTATATGGCAAATGATGTAAATGATGGTAATGTAAACCAATTCGTGTATATCAATGAATCTGCGATTATTGGAATATGATGCGATATCTGCGTATTGTTCTATCGATATTAGAGCGATGCATCAGTTTGGACAATATAATTGTTTTATTTGAAGAGATCGGAAATGTTCACTTGATGTGATCCTTAATAAAAGACTTCCAATAATGTAACCAATTTGGACACCACAAGATGACAAAAATTGCTCTATTAACTCATTAACAAAGTTTAAAACAGACAATTAATTAAAAACCTTTGAAAATAGCGAACTTCCATTGAACAAATCAAACTTCGAAAAGTATTTTAATTAAAATAAGCCCATATCATAGCATTTTGTCTCGTACTTTAAATGATAATGGAACGCTCCAAACTTTACCTGCTCGCAAACTTTTTAGATCAGGCTTCTTCTGAAAAATCTATAAAATATGTCAACTTTGTTTTAGCAATGCTGAAAAAACTCATATCTGTAGGTATTACTCGGCCTTTTTTTAGTTTTCTTAATTTTAAATAAGTTATCTGTGCCTTCATATAATTTTACAATTTATTCGATTGAATAGTTAATTGTGAATACCTGAATGAAGCTGAAAAAACGTATTTTCAAAAATACGTTAGACATTTTTAAATAGCACCACAATCAGAACAGGAAAATACGTACTAAAATAAATTAGCAACAAACAATAACTTTACGAAGAAACGGTTTTTACTTTGCTGTTTTTTTGTTATTAGACAGGTATAATAATTGATTCATATTGGCAAAGGCAAACAATTAATTTGTAAAAAGATACTGCATTTTAACGAATGTAACCGAACACTAACCTCATTACTTTGCAAGGTTTTTAATTAACGGAGCCTATCAATTAGGAATAAATTAATCTAGGGTTTAGCTTTTTCATCCCTTCCAATATAATATCTGTGCTCTACTCGCAATAATAATAATTGTCCAGTGTTTAGAGTTAGACTATAGTTTAGAGTTTACTATGAGTGAAATACTGTTAGCTTCGATAGCCACAACTCCATAAGGCCACATTTGCAGCTCAGACAGTTTTTTCCATAATCACCATTTTAATAAGGGTTTTCAACTGTCATAAGGGTTATCCCTTATCCCTTCGGCAGGTTGAGGGCCCAAATAAATTACTAAAGACCCTTTTCAAGCAAAGATGACTTTCAGAATAAAAAGTTATCGGCTTAACAAACATCCGTCTTAAACTCTATACCCTCTTCAAACAGATTCCACTAATATCTTTTCCAATTAATTGAAGGCCTTTATTTTACTTTCCTAACTAATTTGCAAAAATAACTTTGGAATGACTGCTTAAGGCACACTTAATTAAACGCGCCGGTTTGATAAAAATTCCGCTGAAATAAAATACTTACTTTTGCCGCTGTTGACGAGTAGGGTTCATCAAATAGAGACCATAGTTTAGGTTTCATTAACTGCCACCATGATAATCTGCCCTTGAAATAGGCATCTTCAAAACCAAATTTCCTAGCTATTTCTTCGTCGCTCGGTTTTTCAGTATCTAAATCTAACCTATCTAAAACAGCTAAAGTTTCTTGGGTGTCTCTATGCTGAAATAGAAAAAAAAAGAAATATTAGAACGAAATAAACAGGAAGTTTTAAATGTCTGTTTCAAAACTTGAGATGAAAGGAGTCTTATGTATTCTTCTGAGGAGAGAGTATCTGATTCGTGCAACACAATTATTACCACTAATTACTGCCAGTTTCCACCCTCGGTTTAATTTTAACATTACAAAATTATATATTGCTCATAAATAGGGACAGTTTTCATTCCATGATAAATGTTTTGAACATTTTCTGTTTGCTTCAATTTCTTTCCGTTTTTTTGATAAATGGCAGTAGAAAAGACGGGCACAACTGAACAATTCATCTGATTTATCTTCGGAAAGTAATTCAACAGCAAAACAATATATCCAACAATATTGATTGTATATCAGCCAATCCATGTGTTGATTCGCTACCTTAAACGTAATTGATGACTTAGCATATATTATTCGAAAATCTATATAACTTTGGCATAGGAAAATAAAATAGGATCCTGAAATAACGACCTTGTTGTAAGAAGATTGATCAGTTTCCTATGGATTCCTTACGCAAAGTTTACACCTTTTAGATTTATTGAGGCATAATTTATCCCGCCGCGTTTTCATGTAAGATAAATTGCCAAATATAGCGACAGATCTAAAGTTTCCCTCAACTACATGATTATATGTTGCAAAGTAAAAAGCAGGATGTTAACTTAGTTGCAAATGAACGACTGGATTAGCATGACAGATAATTTATTGCCCATGGCTTGATGTATGTTTTGCAATAATTTGTCATAAATCTGCTTTTTCCAATATTTTTCTTTCGTCGTCGAATTTCAGGCATCAATAAGTATTCTTAAAAAACTACGTTACCAAATAGCTCTTAAGTCCTAATTAGGTCCTAATTAACTCAAAACTGTGAAAGATGGTTAAAAAATGTCTGACTTTACCGACTGGCAGTACGTTTTAGTAAATTATCGATTTGTCTACGGCAGTTTTGATAAACTGCAAAGAATACAAAGTTTACAATTATAAAGTCTTATTTACACCCGAAGGGGGGTAAGGAGCGATGGCAACTGGATGAAGCCTGCTGAAATGCTAACCTCACCTGCACGAGTGGTGGCCGATCTCCTCAGCTATCCGGTACCTCCTGCTAGACAACTAACTAGGCGCTGGCGACCGAGTCACAGCCGGTATAACTGTTAAACCGAGGATTAACGAAATGTAATCGGTCATATCATCCCTCAACCAACCCGCAATGGCCAGCGTGGTTTAGCCTGATACTCTACCAGAGTATCAGGCTAAATAAACCCCACAGAAAAAAAAAGATGTACACACAAAATACACAATGGCCCTTAGTCCCCGGCGGCTTAAAAGTCCCTGATTACGGTAGCAATCAGACAAGGCTAAGAGCAAAGGGTGCGAAGAATCTCCGGGATAGATCCGGCTACCATGGAAAAAGGGAAATACATATTGCCACGTATAATATAAGAACACTATCAACCGACCAAAAAATGCACGAACTAGAAGAAGAGCTAAGTTACATTAAATGGGAATTGGATGGGTTAGGTATCAGTGAAGTTCGACGCAAGGGAGAGAACTAAATAGAGCTCAAATCAGGACATCTGTTCCACAACAGAGGAAAGGAAGAAATGCTAGAAGGGGGAGTAGGCTTTATCATCAACAAAACACACAAAAACAGTATACTAAAAATACTAAAAATATAAAGTATCTCAACAAGGGTTATATATCTATTACTAGATATTAATAAAAGAAACAAAATGAAAATTATCCAAGTGTATGCACCAACATCAACTCACAGTGACGATGAAGGCGACAACTTTTACGAAGATATCTATATCTAAAGCAATACGACAAGACCAAGCACAGTATACGATCCTTCTTGGCGATTTTAATGCAAAATTAGGCCACAAATTAGACGATAGTGAATTTGCTCTGGGTCCTTACGGTTATGGAGAAAGAAACGGTAGAGGCGGTATGCTTCGGAATTTCATGTTACACCGTAAACTGCTATGTATGAACTCCTTTTTTAAAAAGAGTGACCAGCGCAAATGGACTTGGCTGAGTCCCGACGGTGTTACGAAGAACCAAATTGATTTTATAATATCAAATAGAAATGATATAATACAAGATGTCACCGTACTAAACAATTTCACTGTGGGCAGTGACCATCGCCTAGTCCGAACAAAAATTGTAATCAACACAAGGAAAGAACGAGAAAAGATGATATCTGGAACACGAAAGCTTAAGCAGAACTGCATTTGTGATATAGATGCCTTTGAAACAATGGTTACGTCCAATCTACAACATGTTGAACACAGAAATGAAGAACACATAAACGTTGAAGACCTGAATAAACAAATTATCCATTCGATACAAGAAGCCCGAAAAGAAAGCTGTAGTGAAATTAGGAAAAGGCAAGAAAAATTGAGTACAAACACATTAAATATGATGAAGTATAGAAGGGAAGTGTTGGGCAAATAAACAACAAACTATACCCTCTCTAAGACAGCTAAATAAATACATCTCTAAAGCTATCAGAAAAGACATTAGAACATATAACACATCACAGGTAGAAAAAACGATTGAAGAAAATAAAAGCATGAAGATACTCCGACGCAGACTAAATTTGGGCAAAAGAAACATCTGGAAGTTAGCAGATAAATATGGGAACATTGTTACGAGCAGGGAGAAATTGCTTATAGTAGTGACGGATTTCTATTCAGAGCTATATTCAAACCAAGGTGAACCACTAAATCAACAGCAAATAGCAAAAGTCCAGAACGTGGGATCGTAAGATATCCCAGAGGTAACTATTGAAGAGATTAAGTCAGCTATCAAAAATATGAAGATTAACAAATCGCCTGGCGATTATGACATAACAATTGAGTATATCAAGGAAGGAGGATCAACCTTGCTGGTTGTAGTCCAAAAACTATTCAATGCCTGCCTACTAAAGGGTACAACTCCTTCTCAATGGACAAATGCTGTCATCATAATTATGCACAAGAAAGGCGATGTCACAGATCTGAGGAATCGACCAATTAGCCTAATTCCCACGTATACATGCTATTCATGGCAGTAATTACAAAGCGGCTCACCAACAAACTTGACAGCTACCAACCCTGTGAACAGGCTGGCTTTCGTTCTGGCTATAGTACTAACGATCACCTACAAGTGATAAAATCTCTAATAGAAAAATGTGTCGAATAC